TAATATTTGAAATAAAGGAAAGAGCGTGCGGATATGGAAGTTCATCAGCAGAAGCTGGAAAAAGTAATTTTTCTACGTTTTGTACAGTTCTACATTTCATGCTGAAAATTCCTAAAAATAACACAGTAGTTGGATGGAATACCTAACTTTAGAGCATTTTATATCGTTTTCTTTTTTTCAAGCATTGTAGAAAATTATAAATCTAAGTATTAATTTTGTTATATTAAATTTTACTATATTTTTATTAGTTACTGAGTTTTGTATTACCGATAGAAGCTCGGTAGATTACAAAATTTTCCAAAAAACGGAAAAGAAGAGGAAAATAGCGAAAGGAATTAAGCCATTAACTTCTCTGATATTTTTTAAAAAGACACATGGTTTATTTGCAAATTAAAAAATTATTTCAAATACTGAAGTTCGGTATTTCATTCGATCACGATTTTTATTACGCGCTAAAAGCTCGATTTCATTCAATTTTTTCCTGTTTAATTGTCGTCACGTGATCATTCACCAAAAGCAAATTCGTTGTCTCAAGATCGAATTAATGAACGATTAAGGTGCTGAGTTTTACAGATTTCGCCGTGTATCGTAACACTTAATTATTTGAACGATTGTACGGTGAGTATCCTTATGATTTTGCAAGAAAACGACCGACATACGCCGTACATGCTGCTTGCTGTTCGCTTGACTCGACTGCCATAAGCTTGTTAGAGTAAGACGCAGGTCCCGTTTCCGACGTGTACGCGACTGAGTGTGACATGCAGTCGAACTCATCGTTAACGTTATCTTTCATTCTTCTTGGACATCCTTCTTATTGCTAATAAATATTTTCCTCTGAGAAATCACTCAAATTCGTAATTCAAATTCGTACACATGTTCAAATCGAATTTTCTGTTTCACGTACTGTACCATCTTTCTACATTCCACGTGTGATCAAGCATTCTATACAACTAATTAAACACCATGAATGATCAATCATACTTCATTAATGCTCTACCTTTTACATTCTATTTTCTAATTTCAAGCAAAGCCACGATGAATGCGGAATTTTGAATGCAAAATTTAAAAATAATTATAGCTAATGTTTACCAGAAAAATATTTCTTGTTAAGGTACCAAAAGTGGCTGAAAATTCGCGAAAATTGATTCGTGATACGTCATGTACAAATGTTTCAAACAATATCGTAAGCTGGTTAATTTTGAACATATTTCAAATTCGTTCGCATTATCTGGAAAGGACAAAAATGAACTCAGGAAACGATAAAACAATGCTGGAAGTGCAATATGTAACAGCTTGCTCGTTATCCTGCTATCTGTACGACCGGGATATCAGTTTGGGTGTAAATTTGTATTATGTCTATTTCGCGCGAGAAAATACGAGACGAGATGAGAAAAAGTTTTGAATCCGGATAGATGCGGAAGCTTCCACGCGAAATATATTGGCTGCCATTTCCTTTCGCAACGATAAATGGACGAGACGAACGCGAAACAGAACGATATGGACACCTGTAAATTGTCCTCAGCCCTTGTTATCTATGGTCGGTTTTAATTTACGCGCTTTTTGCGGTGAACTTTCTGCTTCGCATCCTGCTTTAATGCAGGACATTGTTCATTGCAATAGACTCGTTTCAAAGAATTTATATAGAGGTTATTATACGAGCAGAAAAATTAGTGGTACACAGAGATATGTTGGAAGCGAGGAAGAAAATTTTTGTAGAATTTTGTTCATTTATTTGGTATTACGAATTATAGCATATTCGAGTTATTATAGGATGGTTTGAAATGATGGTATATTGCTTTCAAATACTGAAATTTGAATGACAGATATGAAAACAAATTTTTTGGCAGACTATTAGAAATAGAGGAAAATTATAAATGTACAAAAATGTTTGGAAGAGTAGAGAAAGGTAATTGGAGATATTAAAATTTCATGCTGAAGCAATTTCGATTAGGAATTCGTGTTCAGAAAATTCGTAGTCTCTACAAGAATCACCTAATAGATGTTACAGATCAGAGAAAAATAAAAATCAATAAAAATCTACATATTTATCATTAACTTTAACTTAACAGGAAATTATCCGAATATACAATTCAATATTTTACATTAATACATAAATTTGTCATTATTTTTCACAAAAGTCTACCAATTTTTCGTTACTTTTAACACAATATTATTTAAATATACATTTCTCATATTTATTCTTGAACATACAATATATTCATTTTATAATCGATTTACCTGTCTCTTAAATATTACGTTGATATTTTAATACTTAAAATGTTATTCATTTCCCTTTTTTTTTAACAAAAGTTTTGTTGAATAAAATAGATTATTTTGACCTGAAATCTTCCGCTGCATAATTACAATTGGTATATATTTATATTTAATAAATTGAGATCACTGTTTTGTTCTAAAAAAATAAAGAGCCATCCTCTACCACAAAAATCCAATATTATTTATTGATCAATTCAGCAATTATAGAAACCATAATTTTAAAAAATCTTAAATCATCACAAATGCCGTACAGAACAAATTATACGACACAGAAATCTCTCTAAAAATTTTCGAATTGCTGGATAGGTAAAATTAATATTCAATAAAATAATAATATTCCAAAAAGACACGTAAAATCGTCCAACTCAGCAATTATAGGGACCATAATTTTTTAAAAATCCTAAAGAATCAGAAATCCCCTACAGAACAAATTATACAACACAGAGATCTCTCTAAAAATTCTCGAATTGCCGGATAGGTGAAATAATATTCAATAAAGACACGTGAAATCGTGAAAGAAAAATGATTAATCGGTGCGCAATTCGGTTTCGATACACGGTAATTTCGTGGCTTCCGGGCACTCTCGGCGAGCAGAGACCGACGAAGAACGTGCACAATTATGGGCCGAGACCGCAAGACGATTTATTATGCACCTTTCGACCACCATTTAAATGCAAATTCCTTGATTACCCCTGGTGCTAATTGCTACGTGCTCGTTCGGCCATTCGCTCGGCCACGAATTGCGAATTGCCAAAGCGTTTTCTGTTTGCAACGAATGTTGCCATTTTACAACTGACCGATGAGTGCTGGAAAATAACAGAAAGGAAACGCGTAGTAATATCGACAGAAATAATTAAGCAAAGGGAGAAACAAGAGGTTAATTGAATCGAATGGCGCAGCCATAAGCGTGGAATTGCAGATAAAGGATACGCAGGACCCTGAGGAAAAAATGAAAATATAATAACCATGAACGTTAAAAGAGGGAAAAACGCATGGTTATTTTACTTCTTCTTCGCTTATCTTCTTTTTTCTAGCGTTTTAAGTTCATTTATCTGCTTCTCTCGATCATTTCGTATCGCTGTCCTCTAACACGTTAAACGCGCAGCTAATTTTATTTAATCTTCCATTCAGGCCATGAAAATAAATAAGAAATATATTAAAATAAAAAAGTATGTATAAATAAAAAAGAAAAGTAGATAAAAGTCGAATTTTCTTTTCGTAATACTTGCGAGAAAGCTCCTTTTTATTACAAACTTCTAAATAAAGTTAATTCAAAAGCTTAGTAAATATATGTATTAATATTACATGAATTATAAAATATTTTTTAAATTTCATATATCAGTTTTTAAAGAATGGAAGATAAATGTCAGTCCTCATGAACCGACATGGCGTTTGACGTGTTATCTCATACAATCACAAATTTCCTAAAATTCAAAAAAATTAACTGCAAGTGTCAATCAAAAAATTTGACAAGTTGCGAAATCTTCTTAACATCCTTGCATCGAATATTCACAAAGCTAATGCGCCTCTGCGATCCTCAAGATCCTCGAGCTTCCCAGATCTACCACTTGCAACGCGAGATTTCTTCGTATCACAAGTTCAGGCTTTATCCCACTAATCGTACGTTCGAGCAATCATCGATCAGTCGATTATCGAGCAAGGAAATGCATTTCTCTAAAGTACCTCGATGAAACGATGAAACAATATTGCCTTGGTCAACGAAGTACCAAGCATATGACCATTTGCTACATGCATTTTGCGTCTTTTTGTGTTCCATAACGTCAGAAATTGATTTTCAAGCGCTACTTAGTGTCACTCGACTCTCATGCTCGACAAGTGAACGCTCACTGGATTCTGTCTATCGCTGCAAACATCGCAACTCGCTTCGTTCATCTGATCCGTCAGTCGTTCCAGATCAGCCGCGGTCCTGAATCACGGCACGACTTATCGATCGAAACCGTTTCTCTTTTACAGGTTACCAGATCGAATGGGAGGGCAACTGGATTCAGGTGTTCCGTCCGGACGTGGAGTGCACCAACGGGATCATCCACGTGATCGACGCGGTGTTACTGAAGGACGGCGACGTGAGGGTGACCGGGACCGCGACGATGAGCAGCCTGGCACCGCATCTGATCACGATCCTGGTGGCCAAGTGGCTGCTTTAAGGACGAACTACTTCGAGTCTGTCAATAGGTGCACCTAGGAATTTATTTCGGGACCGTCTCCGATCGTCCTCGTCCAGGAGAGCGCAGTGCACGAGATCCGGATTTGAACTTTGAAGAAAGTCGTCTTGAACCGGGCCAGTTCATCAGAGTCGGTGCTTTGTCCCCGAACGACTCTGTTCGCGAATGCTTGCCGGGGACCAGGCGGTCCGTGATCTCCGTTGTGACGCTGCGTGAACTGTGTTCGAGGGTCTCTTTGCTTTAACGCCTCACACTTTCAATGGAAAAAATAAAGAACCCCCCTAAATGTGTTCCCTGCGAAGAAATCGAGGCACGATCGACGGATCGGGGACGATCCTGAATGACGCGAGAGATCGAGGGCCCTTGGCCTGATCCTCGGGAGAGGATATCGCGATTTCTGTCTAGGTCAGGCAAGGGCCGGTCGATCGACAAACGTGGGCGAAGCTTAAACAGGAAACGTACTATTTAGCAGTTTCAAAGTCGAATTATCGTCGTCAGTAATGGTTCACTACGAACGTGCAGGTGTTATTACATAACGATAGAGATTCTCTTGATTTGAAGTTTTATCGTATCGATAGGAATCGTCAGGTGTCTCGTGCGCGCGAGCGTACGCCGGGAGATCCGCGAGATATCTCGAGGATTTCTCGCGTTCGAGGTTAGGAAGGAAAGGAAAAAGACATTTAACGGCGACGATCGCGCGGCGAGACAGTTCCGCGAGTTAGAGGCGCCATTGATCGTACCAAATGATTAATTAACCGTACCAACCAGTAAGTAATTTAGAGAAACTTTACGAACGAGAAGAACGTGGAGGTAAGGCAGAGATTTCGGGGAACCTTCTTCGAGTACAAGGGCAGAGCGAGGGTTGGCGTTTTCTAGACCAGTCTATTCGATTTCTCTGGCAAGAGAAGAACGCGTTTTCTTTCCTCCATTTAAGCTTACGATTTCGTGTAAATTATACGGCTGAGTTACCAACGCTGGCGTTCCTCTTTTCTGAACGACACCTAGGATTACGACCACGCGAAAGTATCACCGAGCGGGAATCCATATCTATATACCGACATTTTAGCAGAAACGCAGGTGTAAGGATGCAATTCAAATTTCCCGCGTCTACGTCGGTTCGGATCGAACGGTCGTCGACGTTCTGGCCATAAACTTTTTCGTACAACTACGTATCGCCTAATTATCATACTTCGATTTCAATCACGATCATACGCTATAGTTCTGTGTGCATGTATGTATGAAGCGTCCTTTCTGTTTGGCGTACGAATCGCGCGGCGAGGCACACGGGCCGCCATCTTGTTGTCAGCTGGCCAGTGAGTGGCGTGACCGACCCGATGAAACCGTGTCGCTGTACATAGGTGGAGCAAAACTCGTCCTTAAAAATCCTCTCGAACCTCGAGCGAAATTTCGAAACGACCGAAACAGGCGTCGTTGCCTATCGACGCGTGGTTTTGCGCCCTAGATGTGATTTCCTATTACACTTGCTCTCTGTATCATATCGTATTACACTGTCTACTTACCGATAATACTGCCACGTCTCATTTCAAGCCGGACAGGTGCTTGTAAACGAGTTTTTGTACAATTATCGTTGAAAGAAGCGAAAGTTTAACCCAGTTAGAAGTGACTCGATCACATTCCGATATCGCATAGGCTGTTCGAACGAAAATTCGCATTTTACGAGAAACAAGGACGAATTCTAACCTCGCTCGATGGGATACCGGTGCTCGGACAGGCCGTTTATTACCATGCAAATTCCAGGGGAAACGAAGTTTCTTTAATCGTTATCTCAGACTTCGTTATGGTATCGAATTACGGAACTAGAGTTGACTTAATCGTTCCGAGTATAAATAAATTCGCAAAGTTTGACCAGAGGGCAATCGATACGTCGGTGTAACGAGCGTTTGACGTCGAAATACGGTAATAAACATATCGTTTTATTTAAATTTATGGTTTTACCTTACCGAAGAACGTATCGTTGAACATTCGAGCACGGAATATGTTATGCACGAGTGAAGCCTAGCGTTGTTACCTCTTCTCTTCGGTGCGGGAATTCGTTCGAGCGGATTGTATAACACTCGTATAAAATACTCACTGAGAAAGCTTTTTTTTATTCGACTGTACAGTGCTATATATAATATATCTATACATATATATTATATAGGATCGTCTGTGTCAATGCACCGTGTCGCAATAGTGTCGCTATCGAGATTACAGCCGAACTCGTATTTTCTTTCGACCAGTGTAGTTCGGTTTAACCTTTTGCCGTTCTGTACCATTCCTTGTCTCGTTGCTTGTCACATCGAACGATTCAGATTCCCGACTGTCGCGTTATAAGTCACTTCGCCTTGCGGATAAGTTGCGAACGTTACGCTCGAACCGAAAATGGCGGTGCACAGAGGCGAGACTGCAAAGGGTTAAACCGTGGCCACGTAATCCAGGATCAAGGGACAAACCGACAAGCTACATGCAAACGACACATCGCAGTTTCATTCCACGATTAGTAAGAGCTTAGCTATGTGTGTACAAGTAATTGCAATGATTGCGCGTGTCCTTTAAACGAAGAATAGACGCAACATACGAGAAACATTAGAGAGCATATAGAAGACGCGAGAACCTGAGTATTCGAAGGTGAAGAACTAAAACGCCTCGAAATTTCGTTTCCTCCTTGTAGAACGAAGAAAAATCGCTGCGGCTAGATAGAGCTGGATCAAAGAGAGTCGTTCAGTAATCGAAACGCCGAAACTAAAATGAAAAGACGATGAACGGATCGGGTCGAACTTCGATCGCGTTTCCGGATGTTTCACGCGCGTTAGTTAAAAATGGAAAAGCATTTAAAAAGGAACAAAATGATAGAAAGGGAGAAAAAGAGAGAAGACGAAGCAAATGAATAGATATAATAAATAAGAAGCAGAAGAGAAAACAGAAGACTTGTAATTAAGAGTTCATTCAGCTACCGCACTTTTCCCCGCGAAATGGAATAACGAATAAAATAAAAAAAAAGGATTAATAGAAAGAATTCGATGTTATACGTGTTGATATCAGTCTATACATATATATAAAAAAAATAAAGTAAATAAATATATATAAATATATAATGAACAGAGATATATTGACGAGGAAGAAAGTACGATTGGATAGACGAGAAGGAACTGAGAGAAAGAGAGAGAGAGAAAGAGAGAGTGAGCGAGTGAGCGAGAAAGAGAGAGAGAGAAAGAAAGAGAAAAATACAGAAATACTATCAAATGATACCTTAAAACTTGTTGTTGGGATGAATTGATATTATGAATTATTATTATTATTACTATTAATTATTATTATTATTATTACATATATAAATATACATAAACTCTAATAAACACTGTTTGTTCGTTAGATGAGAACTAAGATTGAAAAAAATGGGAAAAAACGAGAAAAACGGAAAAAAAATAGCGAAACTCTATTTCTTCGTGTTAGGCGCGTCTTAAATATTCAGCTTGTACAAGCGTACGCCGAAACGAATCGCATATTCGCAGCTGTGTCTGGGGTTGTGAACAGGTGTGAATGGAAATTGCGAGAGACGGAATTTCGAAGGAATTTTCGTCACACGGAACTCCGCGAAAGTATCAGACTCACGAGGAAATGAAAAATAGAAAAAAGAAAAAAAAGGAAAAACAGAAAAACGGCAAAAAAAAGAGTTAAGAGAAAAATGAAAAAACAGCATATCCGACTTGCTCCCTTTGTGTTCCTTCTGACGAATTCTTTTAACGAATCCGAATGGACCTGGCTCGGTTCCGTTTTCGCGTGCACACACGGAATTGCTCGAACACGGAAATTTGACGAAGGTCCTCGCTAACTCTGAACGTACATACGATAAATCTTGCAAATCGAAACGATCGAAAATCGTGGATCGTTGAACGAAAATAACGAAGAAAAGAAGAAAAAAAAAGAAATAGAAGAACGGCGTACTCGATGGCCGAGATTTTTGTATTCCGTTGCATATCCGAGTACTAGCACACGCCTCTCAGCTCTTCTTTGTCAGTTTTGCTGTAAAAAGTGGGAGAATATTCGAGTGGATTGGAACATTGTACACGAATGTAGAGGGATTATCGGAAATTGTACAGTTTAGCGATGTTCTTCGAGAAGCTTTAGGTATAGGACGAGGGTAAAGTCTGTGAATGATTATGAGAATTTTTAGAACAGAAATTATGACAACGGAGAACGATTGAGTTGGACCAAAATTTGCGTCGACTCGAAGACTCCATTTTCTTTTTAAATTAGATTAAATTAAATTAATTGAATATTTATTCGGTTCGAAACGTATCTCAAGTTATAGTGGAGTATTATAACTCTAAAATAGTTTACTATAAAACTATTTTTGGCATGATCCATAAGTAATTTACCAATCTTCTCGAATTTATTATAATTTTAATATAATGACTGTGGCTGATAATTTTACGAATTAATTTTGGTAAAACGTAGCGATTATTGTTAATGTTTATTTCGACACTGTGAATAAATTTAACGAGTGACACTATTTCACGGAACCAATGTTAATATTGGAATTTCTACTTCATCGATTCTGTGCCGTTTATTATTTTGAAAAATGAAAAGGAAAAATTCGTATCGACAGAAATTTTGGTCCAAATTATTTGTTTCTCGTTCGTGTGATTTTTGATTACTAAATTTTTGTAAATAGTTGAAGACTTTATGCTCGGCCTGTACAGGTCGAAGATGTCGCGTCTGAAGCATCGTTGCCATTTAAACGGATCTTTTAATTTTAGGCTGAACGAAATTTTTGGTACTAAGTAATTGTACAATCGTCATAAAGCACGTGATACGAGTAATAATACATATTAGGAAAGACAGTTATACGAAGTAATAACTGTTTTGTTATTTAAAAGAAAGGAAAAATGTCGTGTCTCGACTATAAGAATTAATCGTCAAATTGAAATTTCATGTAACATGATAATCGGGAGACGTGTTACGTTATAGGGACTTAATCAAATTTAACTCATATCAGAGTTTCGTTGGAAATCTCTTTATCCTTACATAAACGTCTTTGCGTTGCCTATCTGCCTCTATCTGTTCGTATCTTCCATAACTCGATCGATTAGAAGACACCCCTCACGATGCAACAGAATATACGTTACTTACGATTAATCACCCGCAATTATGCCATGTTCACTATCAATCGTATATAAAATTACAAAAATACTTGAAATCTGAAAACCGAGTTTTATTTCGATTTTCTCGACTCTTCGAAGTAAGAATTTTTAAACTTCCTTCGTATCCTAAAAGTGCCATTAATATTGTATTAAACGCGATGAATTTTTAACACAATTTCTCACGAACGTACCCAAAAATAGGAGCACCCGGTGCTATTTTGTTCTCACGATTAATCTCCGATTAAAAATCGACGACACGTTAATTATCGAAGCTTTAAATTATTATTTCAATTATTATTCAAATTATTATTTTCGAGTGATAAATAGTCGCGAGGAAGCGTAATAGTTTGCAAAGATTAGGTAATCTAGATCAGTCATCTAGAGGACCTCGTATCTTAGTGTCCCTTGACCAAAGATTCAGGCGTGTAACGCGATTCGCTTACCTCGCGTTCCTTGATCATCAGACCATCCCTAATTAATCGTCAAACTGATCGAACGCTATTCGTCGAGCGACCTCTCACTCTCGTCGCATTTTCGCGTAATTATTTGTACATTTTGTAGATATTCACACTCCGGGAGAAATACCATTGTGCATCGTTCGATGCGATTAAATCGAATTCTTCACGTTTGTGTCTTCGGCTCTCATCTTCGCTTATTATTTTTCATTCGTTCGCTCGTCAACTGATTCGTCCGATGAATCGGAAATCAACGTCTATTCGAGCTTAATCGTTGCTCGTGTGCTCGCAATCGGGTGCACTCGCGATGAATAATCGAAAAATCGCGAGCACGTTAGGGTCTTCTTCGTTGACGACACTTTCCACTTCGGAAAATCAATTTCTACCCTCTTTTCATCGATTCCGAATCTAGAAATACATCATAGATCTTCGGATACACATTATCGTACGATTTCCTCATTTTTCTCAGCTTTGCGAATCAATTGCAGAATTAAGTATCGAATTTCGGATAATTTATAATACCACAATGTATGAAAAATTATGAATTCTCGTTTGCCTAGTATTTTCTTGACACTCTGTTGCGTGACGATGTCAAGGAACCCTTTTCCTTATTTTTCTCGTCTTTACGAATCAACTGCAAAATTAAGTATCAAATGTCGGATAATTTATAATTTTTATAGTATCACGGTGTGTGAAAAATTATGAACTCTCGTTTTCCCCGTATTTTCTTGACACTCTGTTGCATGACAATGTCAGAAGACTATCGTCCAAAATTCGTTTGACAAAATAATGGTACTCTCCTTCTAACGCGCACCCATATCGTTTGAAGTAACGCGTAAGGGAAAAGAGATTCTTACCAATCGTTCCTCTAAGCAATCATTCTGTCACCGTCGCTCTGTTATTACCATTATCGATTCTACGATGTAAGAAGTTACTATCTGAATTTTAGAGACTCTAGCGCTAAGGCATCGCTCGCTGGTACACAGCTGGAGAACAATCGCGAAGCTCATCTTCGTATGCACGTTTCCTACGTAGGTACCTACACATCACACGTGTCTATAGAGGGAATACTCTTCGAAGTGGGTCGCTGAACTTTGATAAAGTATCTTGCTGACACCGAGGGTGAACGAAAGTCTCGTGGAGCTAATTATCAGGTCGTTCTCTCGTCTTAAGCTGCTCTTCATCCGCGTCGCGCAAGAGAGTTCGAGACGCGAAGGTTGACCAATGATTTTCACCCCAGTGAAAAGAGCTTGGAACGTTTTAAGTTTGGCCCTGGAAGATCCAATCTGACCAAGTAGACGCTAGAAACTGTTAGCACCCCGATGACATTGGTCCAGTGAGCCGCAGTCTGACCAAGTGACTGTCACAGTATTCTGACATTGGTCCAGCGAAATCCTGACCAAATGACTATCGTCAAAGGCATCCGTTACCTTGATATTCGCAGATCAAGCTGCCGTTGAACACGATTGTCTCTTTCGTCTCTGATACTTTACACGTTATTTGTATATCTATTACTCGATGTACTAAATATTATTTAAGAGTTATCGACATAAGTTAATCGGTAAGATTGAAATGGATAAGTTTCGCATTTGCGTCCATAGGACTTTCCGCCACTATAGAGCACGTGGGACACTACACCAAAGTTTGGCCCTGCATAGAGGTTCAGAGACGTTTCTTGCAGCGAGCAAACCTCGATCAGCGTTTTCTCTATTCCCTATTCGTCTTAGATCCTTTCGAGTCGCGCGTTTTCTTCAGCCACGTGTCGCCGTTTGCATTCGCGCGCCTCTCTGGAAGCCACGAAGCTTCGAACATCCATCATCGTCGGATTCACTCGGGAACGATGTCAGCATGGG